CCTGAAGGCCAGACAAGGAAGAATGGATGGAAACTTAGGAAGGAGAGATCCAACCTGTAAACCAGGAGAAATTTCATGACAGAACAATTCCAACTTTCAGTGGAGCAGCTGGCCCTGAGATGTTGTGGGTGAGCCATCATTGAAGGTTTTTAAATAAGAAATTGGAAAACCCCTGGTCTGAAATGATACTGTATAGGGTCTCCTGTTTGAGCTGGGGGTTGGACTAGAAGACAGAGAGGAAGGGCTCAAGCTATTTTCCAAAGCACCTGAAGGCCAGACAAGGAATAATGGATGGAAACTGACCAAGGAGAGATTCAACCTGGAAATAAGGAGAAATTTTCTGACAGGGGGAGCAATCAACCAACAATCAAGGCTTTTGCCTTCGGAAGTGGTGGGAGCTTCATCTCCGGAAGCTTTCAAGAGACTGGACTGTCATCTGTCAGAAATGGTGTAGGGTCCCCTGCTTGGGTGGGGGTTTGGACTAGATGATCTACAAGGTCCCTTCCAACTGGTTCCCCTTTCAATTCTGTTATCCTATCCTATTCTTTTTTCATTTCATTTCATTATTTTTTATTTTATACGTTCCCCCTCTGCTACTCCTGAAGGAGCTGGCTGGGAATCAGCTCCTCTACAGGAGAGCAGGAAGATTAGCTGGAGGGTTTAAGAGAGTCTATCCTCTCCTGTTTGAAACCCTCCACTCTTTCTGGAAGAAACACCTCCGCTCTGGGCCCTCATTTCTATAGCCAAGCCTCCTGTTCTCTTGCTTAGGGAAAATTCAAAACCCAACACTGCCTCCTGGAGGAAAAAGTTACCCATGGCTTAGTTCCGCCCTCTCTCACCACTTCCTTTGGCCTAAGTCTAAGAAAGGGCACTGGGTCACTTTAAACCTTTTAAAAGCGTGTTACCCACTTAACATACGTAAAGATTCACTTAACAACTGAAGCAAGATAGGTCATCAAATGGGGCAAACTCACTTAAATAATGTTTCACTTGGCAACATAAGTGTTGAGTTCAATTTTGGTCGTAACTCAAGGACTACCCGTAATGGATTCTCAAGGTTTTTTTTTCCTACCCTATTTTTTTTCTTTTTTTTCTTTTCTCTCCTTCCATGTTATACTTGTTGAGATTGTTAGCTCATAGGTTTTATTGGTTTTATTTAACCTGGGTTATTATTATTTTTTTAACTGAAGCAGAAGGCAAATCTGCGTTAGCTCATCAGAATTTTAAAACCATTTTTCAGAGGTGGGTTCCTACCAGTTCGCACCAGTTCGGTAGAACCGGTTCGTCAAATCTACCGA